TTGAATGACGAAATCAAAATTCTGATTCATATAAAGAAAATATCACCTTACATTAATTGAAATTTTGAAAAAAAGTTGTTGCATTAATTTAAATTTTGATAGATTCAACTAGAAAGGTGTAAATCAAATATTTATATTTAAATTTATTAAATATTCTAAGCGAGACAATTGAAAATTTAATTACGATAATTAGAATTCAAATTTATATAATCAGAATTCCTTTGTTTATACTTCTTATTGGTAGAACCAGAACATTTTTTTCAATGTACTTATTGGTCTTATATATTAATCTGTCATTAATTTTGCATTATGTTAATTATACCAACGTGATTCATCATTGACGACTGATAGTGGCGTACACAATAATATCCCTTGACATATACAATTATCCGCTTAGAATCGATGATAGTATCATTTGAAACTCCACCGATCTTGTGTGTGCAAACTGATTCCTAAAACGAGAGCACTTGGTAATTGCGTCAACTTGCCTCAAAGGCTTGGTTATCATTTACGAAAGCCGAACTTGTGCACGTTCCCCACGTACTTCCTCCGTATTATATGCTCGAGCATGATTCCAGGTTAGTCTTCCGAAGTGCCCCAATACGATGCCTCGCTAGGGGGTGCATACGAAGTGAGTTCTACTTAGATTTGAAGGGCGATCTAAGGAACCCAATTGTCCCCCTTCAATCTTTAATGAGCTTTTAGTATGTTGTTCTCCAGACAAAAATAAGCGACACGTATTGTATTTTTTTATACATGCTCATACGCTCTTTAGAATTCAATTTTCGTTCAGAAAATTTTTTTCTATCTCTTACAGTTTCGACAATATCCGCTTCAAATGAGAAAAACCGATTTTCTTTTAAAGTGTTTCACCCCCTTAAAAGTGCGTATGGGCACGTATAAAAAAAATATTAGTTGTTTATTTTTGTCTGGAGAATAACATATTAAAAGCTCATTAAAATTAGAGAGGGATCCTTTCCTTGTAAGTATATGGATGTTGTTCTACATGTAAACGATTGTTGCATGAAATTCTTAGCAGTGTGCTTTCTGTTATCTTTTCCTACGTTTCTCTCATCCATCAGGTGGTTGCTGACAATAAAGAAGTCGGTTCTTTTGTTCCGTGACGATTCTCATAGAACTATTTTCTTTGAAAAACAATGCTTTATTCAAGAAAGCGGAAACTTCTTCAGATAAGACTTCAGATTCAGTTGATTTAGTTTCGGGTCCATTCCGAGTGATCAAAGAGGAAGGAAAAAACAGTGCAGTGTTGCGATATTACGAACATTGATTAATATATATATCTCATCTTAAATTATACTTTAATAATATTATATATATATGTAT